GGCACCAGTTACAGTTCTTGACAAGTTATTCGAGGAGAGGATGGACCTGCAGTGCAAGGAGGGGGAGCTCAATTTCCAGGTGCTCACGTGAGCAGAACACAGGAGGAGGGCTGTGGCGGCTTTGAGACCACCCCATATTGCGTCCAACTATGCTGCCAAGAAATTACAGATGTACGCTGCCCGGGCGGCTACGAGTGTGACTGGGCCTGTGAAGCATCTGTCCCAGGGCACCTGCCCACTGCTCCCGTCAGCCCTGCCCTCTTAAGCGCCTCACGGCACTCAGGCAGGTGAGTGCCTACATGCACCCCAGAGACAGTGTCAGGGAAAGTCAGAGGCTGCAGGGAGAGATAGCAGAGAGCCCCGCCCGGGGCCAGTAAAAGGGCGTACGTACAGGAAGCCCAGACACAGAGGCACGTGAGGACGGTCCAGGGCTGGGCCATCACGGCAAAGCACACGAGTGTCTGTTGGAGGCCAGCGACCGGACTGGACGGCGGCGACCGGACTGGACGGCGGCGACCAGGGACGGGGGCACCCCCACAGAAACAGGCGCCTCTGTGGGTGCAGCGAGAGGCTCCTGCGGGCCGATCCCGCAGGCCCTGCCACCCTGGTGACACTGGAGACAGCTGATTAGAGAGCACCAGATGACTCACCGCATGGGAAGAACGGCCTCAGAGCCCAGTTTACAATTCATCACTGATATATTCGCATAAAAGTGACTTTGCCCTTTCTAAAGGGACAGAATGGATGGGGCTGAAATGCCAACGTCACACAAAGGGGTTAATCAGGGAGGCGAAACACAGCCACATCCCTGTCATCTGAGAGCTGTGGTGACCCTCACTGGCATCCATCCGTAGGACCGTGTCACACACACACCTGTGACTTCGGGGCACTGTCCATGTTCCCAGGTCACCAAGTATCAGCCTTCTTTTTTTTTTAAACATTCATGAAATTTTTTATTCTTGCGTTTTATTTTTTTTGGGCGGGAGGTAATATTTATTTATTATTGTTACTGTTTTTTCGTTAGCAGAGGTACTGGGGATTGAACCCATGACCTCGTGCATGCTAAACATGCACCCTACCACTAAGCTACACCCTCCCCACTAACGTCAATCTTAAATATATAATTCATTAAAAAAGAGACGGATGAAAGGATGTCTGTGAGCGTTCAAGACAGAAACACCTCTGCAAGGTCCACAAAAAGAATTTGTCTCTTTTCGCTCATGTACGAATTTGATGTCTTGGAACAGCTGCAAAGATTTTTGTAATAAAGATTATTTTTTATACTGTTAGGCATTATCTGTTATTTTTACTATTAAACAGCATTTCCACATGTTATAAAGCGGAAATCTTGACTCTCTCCAGCCTCTTCCGTTGAGCCTGGATCTGGTGGCTTTTGTAGAAAAGCAGATGTTCTTTGCTGGCTGTGACAGGGGTGCTTGGAATCTTGATAAACCTTCCCTGCATGTGAATTAATCGCTACTTCTGATATCCAATGTGAGTCTTTAACTTTTCCCTTTTGTTACTCTGTTCGTGGCAGACGTTGTGAAAGGAACGGCAGGTCACCCTCTATGGGCAGACGACAGCCTTTAAAGCATCTCTTTCGGTGATTCCTTTGCATCCTTTAGATCGACAGGGGTTATTAACATCTCTGGTCCCTACTTGTCTTAGCTCCAAAACCCTGCATCACCTGTTACCAGAGCTCTTCAGAGCAGCGCGACAATAATTCTCCTCTGCGACTATGAGACCTCATTTGAATTTTTAATGAACAGTCACATTCTCATGAGGTCTTCATAAAACTGACTAAATATGCTTAGAAATCATTAGCTGAGATTACCAGTGCAAAAATCTCCTCGGGGAGCCCCCGGATTTGGTCCTAAGACGTTCGGCAGGTGGGTCAGTACAACAGCGCGCGGAGCTCTGAGTCTGCACGCAGACAGTGTGAATGGGAGCATCTGGGAGACAGGCGACCAGAGGAAGAGCTCGGCACCCCTCGGGCGGGGTCGTGAAAGAGGGAAAACAGCCACAACACACCCCGGCGCAGGTCACCTGCCAGGTGTGCAGCTGTCGGCAGGCGTCAGGAAAACTGACGAGGTCCCTTCCCACCACACACCGGCCGGGAGGGACGCACGGTGGCGACTTGGCATCTCAGATAATGACAGGCCCTGGCAGATGCAGCACGGACCCCACTGGAGGGAAGTGCGGCGGCTGAGTCTCCCGCACAGGTGCTGCGAACGCAAGGCCTCCCGGTGGCCCCGAGCCCGGCAATTACAGCGGCCTGATGCGGAGCGCTGCAGGGCAAAACCCGGGGAGGCTCTCCGCTCCGACTTAATGAATCAGCAGCAAGTCTGTGTCAACAAACAGCATCCGCCGGGCTCATGCCTGATTCATGAAGGGCCCGCCGTGCACAGTCGACATGCTAAGTAGGTAGTTGCTGCCCCGAGAAACCACGTCGTTTTCGTTTCTTTTGTGGTTTGTTGTCGCTGTTTCTAGGCATGGAAGACAGGGATGTCATCTCTCAGCAGATGTGTGGGATGAGCCACGGGAAATGGCCTGGAATAAGGTTAGACCGTTTCCCGGAGGGAATGCGCCCTGCTGTCAGCACCCTCAATCACACCAGACGTTTCAAGGACACATGCCACTACGGGCACGACTAACTGAAGGTGGTAACAGGGGACTCTCCAGAGCTGACAGCATGCCCACAAATGGGGCAAGGATTTGGAAGGATTTTATTTTTTTCTAAAATAAGCTTACCAGACCTAAAATTACCGAGTTTCTGGGAGCCTGTGGGCTTCTATCTACAGGTAAACTTGAACCTGGCCCCCCTCTCTCCTTCACTTCACACCATTGGTGAACAGTCTGTGGCTATTTGCCCAGAAGAATAGTTTCCATCAAAAATGTCAACGGTGGCCACCCTGAAAGGGACAGGTCCCAGTGCCAGATGGAAGAAACAGACACCACCACGCCCTGGCCCTTCTATTTTGTTATTCCAAGGCAGGTAACTCGGAGTGAAATCTGGGTCCCGGAGGAAGGTACCATGTCCAACAGACAGTGGAAGTGCTTTCTCACCCCGATCCGAAGGGAAGACCCATCTGCTTCCGTGTTGTGTCCTGCTCTGGTGCCCGCTGGCTTCCCTCCCCCACCCCCGCCCTCCCCTTCCACCCTTCCTCTGAGCGTCCACCCTCGGAGGGTTTAGATTTTACCCGACAGTCTCAGTTCAGATTCTCAGCATTGCATCTCTCCAAGATGTTACCTCCTGCTCTTGGTGGGCTTTCAAACTCAAGATCCAAGGTCACAAGCCTGAAGCCCTGCCAGCCTCTCCCCAAGACTGACAGGCACCACGGCGCCCGGCCTCCAACGGGCAGCTGCTGGGCGCGTCCCGTCTCTGGTCGTCTCTCCTCCTCACTTCTTTCTGGTCTCTTCCGGTTTACTTCCTTGAGAGCTGAGCTAAACTTTTTTTTTTTAATTGAAGTACAGTCAGTTACAATGTGTCAGCGTCTGGTGTACAGCACCATGTCCCAGTCATGCATGTATACACATATATTCCAACACTTTAAACACAAGTTTACATATACATGTACATTTTGCATGAAATGCATTAAAATACACATCTATATTTTACTGAAAATGTCTAGACGTTTGTAGGAGGATGGTCTTCAGGTAAGTTAGTTGGCCATTTTTGCTAGAATTGTGAGTAAAGTAGCTCCCTCTTCTTAACGTCTTTCTTCTTCCCAGTTCGTGCTTTCTGATACCTTCAGGAAATCTATTTCTAAAACAGCTTTACTGAAGGACAACTGACATCTGCACAGTTTGATGGGTTTCAACACACGCGTACCTCCTGGGCACCGACTGTCACTACTGCCAGGGAGACAGGCAACGCCCGACCCCTGCCGCGGGTTCCTGCTTGTGTGTGCGCACGTGTGCGTGCGGGTGGTAAGAGCACTTTACACGAGCTCTATCCTCGCAACAACTTGAGCGCACGGAGCCATATCGCTGACCAGCAGCCCTACTTGCACAGCAGGTCTAGAGAACCTGGCGTAGCTGAAACTTTACACATGCTGAGCCCACTTCACACCCCCACCCACTCCTCCCCTCCGGCGACCACCCTTGAACCTCCCGCTTCTATGAATCTGACCGCTCCAGGCCTCTCCTGTGAGCGGGACCGTGCGTGCCTGTCCTTCTGCGACCGGCTTATTCCACAGGACACGATGCCCTTCAGGTCTGCGTTGTGAACAGCAGGATTTCTTTCTCTTTTTAAGGCTAACAGAGACTCCTAGAAACAACCCCTTTATGGTTTCTGCCCCAATATTTCAATTCAAGGCTAATCTCTGGTAAACCTCCGAACATCGACTTCTCTAAGAAGCCACGGTTCTCAAGCAGAACCATGGAATTGGCTCCACTATTCAACCAAGCAGTTGCACCCTGTGTATCTTCTCATTTTAAAATTTTGTGTTGGAAATACGCCTGTCGCGTGCTAGGACCGAGATCTTAACTACGTGAGAGTTTCCTGGTTGAATAAAAGTAGCTTATTAACAGCACAGATGAAGGGATACGAGACCCGGGGGGCGGAGTGTGGTCTCCACTTTGCAAGTCAGGAGACGAGGAAAGTCAAGTCTGAGGAGAGGAGATGCTGGAGTCCTAAGCCGGGGCTGACTCCAGGGCTGCGGGCGGCTCCCACGGGGGACTTTCCCGCACCTCCCACGGTGTCCTGACCCCCAGCCGCCAGCGTGCACTTCGCGGTGCTTCTGGTTTCCGCGTGCTCAGTGCAGCCAGCTAACAACTGCTGCTAAACCCTGAGTGCCTCTTCTGCCTGTTGCTGTCGCAACAAATGAAAGCAGTTCAGGCTGTGTTTACTGATAATCTATAAGCCAGTGTGGCAAGCGATGGAGGAGCTGAGTGGTTAACGTTGTCTGGATGCACACGGTGCCTCCAGAACTTGCCCTCGCCTCACTCCGCACACCAGTGAAGCAGGGGCCGAACGCCCCGCGTGAGCGCTCACTCACCCTCCCCACCTCCACCAGGTTGGTCACCATGACGATGCTCGCCGTGCTCTCGTGCCACACCATCCTCCAGAAGTCGTAGATGGTCTCTTGCATCGGTCCTGCAGGCAGAACAGAGAAGAGATTTTTTTTTCTTTGTAAGTTTGCAACTGGAAAATTTCTGGGGCTTGCAAATAAACCTCTGGACCGCCACACGCAGTCCCTCACTTTCACAGGCGGACGGGACTCGCCTTTCTAGTGTCAAAGGCAAGAGGATTCTCTTCCTAAAACAGCACCTGTAGGAATCCTGAGCTTTGCACTCGTGGGTGAATTTTCTCCTGTCATCCAGCCAATCTGCATGTGAGGTCATTTTGCCCCTCTTAAATGACTGCCGTGAAAGGAAGTCATTTCTTCATCATTTAGCTATTTATCTTCATAATACTCAAGAGTGAGATTTTAAGAAATGGATGACATTGCTCTTCCTGCTAACAACTGGCAGATATCCCAGCGAAATGGTACAGACAATGAAATGAGCCTTGATAGGAAAAAATGGCCTTTTCTAGTTTCTAATATTTTTCTTACTCTGTGCTGTCAAATTAATCTTTTTTTTTTTAACTTTTGCCTGACTTCCCAAAGTGAGAGAGGAGCTGAAGTTCCAAGCTGTCGTCCTTCCCACCACCAAACATGACTAGACTCTACCTGCCTAGTGCTTGGGATCTGAGTATTAAAAAGCTCTTCACAGACTGGAAAGAAAAAGAGACGAAACAGGTATGACAAAATGCCAGTGTTCCAGGTACTGTAAAGCCCCAGCAGGTACAGAAAGCTGGCGTTTCAACTTTTTTTCCATGCAGATTTTTGAAAAAACCAACTCTATGCCCAGGCATATTTGAGGTGTCATCGTGACAGCGTAAATCTTTTTTTTGATCAGCAAAGGTGTGAGGAGGACATGAGAGGAAGATAACTTCGTGGACAGCCACGCACAGAATGTGGGCTCAGATAAGCATCCAGGGACATGCTGGGACGGCCTGGCTGCCCTACTGGACCCTGACAGGACAGATCACTCGGTTTAGAGCTCAAATACTTGAATCTGAGATCTCCTCTGACTTTGAACCCTCTGTGTGATCTGGGGCACGTCGCCTGGCTACTGCGACCGTCAGTGTCTGACTCTTTGTCTATGTACTGAGGTCATTAACACTTCTCAGGGTTATTTTGAGGATTCGTGGAGTTAAGGTGCACTCGGTCATTTCAGACACAGCCACATGTTAGAACAAAAACAAAGTGCATTAAAGGATATTCATCGACGGTCACTCCTAGGCTGAGGCTCAGATGCTGAGTGATGCGGGCACACCGGGGGCCCCTTCAGACACCTCTCATTCCTCTGGACCAGTGACCAGTGGGTTCCTGTGTGTTCTTCTTTCTCACTGTCAAGCCTCCACCCCTCTCCTCGGAACACAAACGCCTGCCTTTCCTCCTGCTGCTCTGGCCACACCGTTCCCCTCCTGGGGAGAACCACACCACTTCCCGGGCCTCTGGGTCCAGTCCCTTTGCGAGACCTCGCACGCCACTTCCCACGGACCCGCGCCTGCCACCCAGGCCCGTCCCTTGGCACGTGCGTGCCATTCTCCTGATGTAGAGGCTGCAGATTTCGGTGACTTCGCTCAAGGTTACAGAGGAGACAAGTAAACATCGGGTCCCATCAATCACTAAGCTTTGAGCTCGCAGACAGAGCCACACCTCCACTGTGTACTTAACAGCTTGTCACTTATTCACGAGGAAAAAATACCCTGAGTCCATCTTTGTGTAAACAGACAGCCATCCCAATGTGACCCTGAGACAAAGGGGTGGCGCTTTCTGCCTCCTTCACCAGATACACAGGTCTGTGCCACCTACTCAGAAACTTTCAGGACCAGATCGGAGAAGAATCAGGTGTCCCAGCATCCTGGACCGCAGGTGTCTGCAGGACGAAAAAGCGCCCTCTTCCCTGCTGCCCGACAGAGATGTTCCTGGTTGGGGGCAAGTTCCAAGGTGCAACTCGCCCGCCTTTTCTTAGCGCTAGACCCCTCCCGGTCACTGGTCTCAAGCTCCCCCCTTGGAGGGGAATGTGGCTGTCATGGTTACCTCTCTCCCCTTAGTGCCTACGGAACACCCAGCACACGGCAGGGGCTCAGTGAATGAATGAATGAGTAAGTCTGCATGCATGTGCATACACCGTATTATTTGCTATGAAAACGTTGTATTAAATATAAAAACATTAACTAATATGAGTATATAATATTTGTACGAGTCTGTTTCTTGACGTCTTTCGGAAAGTATCTGGAGGACCTCGAAAGCATGCTGCCTGTCCTCCTTCCCGGGTCACCGGAGGGGGGCACCTTTGTCAGAAGGAGCTTGCTGGTCCCCGAGGCCTCAGAGCGCCGCCTGGTGCTGCCGCCGTGGAATTGCTCCCAACCGCTAAGAGGCAGCTTCCCTGCATCTCCCTGCCCCAAGGCTTGGCCACCAAACTTAACCCATCACCCTATAGCCAGAGTGTGATCCCGGCTTCTTCTGTCGAAGGCAGTGGTTCTCAACACTGGCGGCATATCACAGCTACTGTGGTGCTTTAAAACAGTTTTGATGTCCTAACCCAAGAGACTCTAGACTTATTGGCCGGGGCCAGGGGTTGGGTCTTCTGGGGGGGTGGGTGGGGGCGGGGATCACAGAGCCCCAGCACCTTGGCGTTCGGCTGCCCCTCCGACTGCCAGGCAGTCTCGTGTGGAGAAGTCACTGTGGGACACACAAGATTTGTAGGTTTCGAATCACTGATTAGTTTGACCTGTATACAAGCTCTTTGAATCAAGAAATCCCAATGCTTTTTGACTTAGAAAGAACTTCAGGCACATGGCTGCACCACTTCACCGAGGCGCACACTGGTATATAAGATGACATGGCTTTTTTTTTTTAATGTTTATGTGACTAGATTTGGGCTATCTTGAAAATAAAGGGCATTTATAAGCATTGGTGGCTCACTTGGGTGATGACATACAGTTTAATCTTGACGAGGTTCTCACCCACTGACCTGGACTGAAAGAAAAGATCAGGAGAGAAGGATGCATTAGGTGAGGGTAGGACGTGAGCGTGTCCCCGCCTGCACAACACGTGGTCCTCTCCTGCCCCTGGTCCCTGGGGCAGTTCAACAATAAAGCTGCTCAGGGCACACACTGCAGAGTCTCGTCTTCTTGGCTGATGATTCAAGATATTTTCATGAATGTTCATTCAAATCTTGTGTGTGTATGTTTTTTGTTTTTTTTGGAGAGGGGGAAATAGAAGAAGGCAGTCACCTAAATGTAAGGGTTTTAATGCAAAATTTGTCAATCCTGTTTTTCTTCTCTATTCAACATATTTCAAATTATTTCCTGAGACCCGAATACATTACGACTTTCTCAGAGATACACTTCTCAAAACAAAATCAAAAATCATGTTGGAGGCCGGGCGGGGTAGATCTCACAGACACCACTGGGTTTGAGCAGCTCCTGGTGGGGTCTCAGTGACTGTGGCTGTCGGGCAGTCGACACCGTGAGCCCACAGAGGTGTGCCAGGTGCCCAGGGCGGTTGCTCTCAGGCCCACACCCTAGCAGGGCTGAAACTGGGGGAGGAGCACCCGGGGAGGGGGTGGTCAGAAGGTACTCCTCCGCCTTCCGCGTCCGTCTCCCTAGGGCAGGGGTGGGGAACGCCTTCAGCACAGGGAGAACAGTCCAGAGAGAGGTCACGGGATCGCTCACGGGGCGGACGGACAGCGAAGCTCCTCAGACAAGGAATCCAAAACAGCAAGCAAGGATGCTGCAAACCCTCCTCCCCCGGTATGAACAGCTACGGTCGACAGCCCGGTCTTTGACTCCTGCAGTCGCTGGCTGGGTGGGAGCCCGGCTCGCTGCGCTGTGTGCTCACAGATGTCAGCACGATAGGCGGGAGGGTTATTCTCAGCAGTTGTCCCCCTGGGACCAAAGCCTTCGTAAGGCAGGGCCCCAAATTTCAACAGTATCAGGCCAGTGATACGTTCCATTTCCCTCCTGGTGGTCGGCTCGCACAGACCTCGCTCTGCTGAGAAGGAGACGTGCGGAGGGGCCGTCCTGACACCCCTGGTCCCTGAAGGAGCAGCAACGAGGAAGGGCAGGAGGAACGAGAGCAGAGTAAAATCAAGTACAAGCCAGGGAGAGCGGGGTGAAGGACGTTCATGGACGGCTGTTGTGCCCGACGAGCCCTCGCTCACGGCAGTGGGAGGTGCTGAAAATCAGGACTGCAAGCCTTGATGGATGACTGCCGCGCCCGGCACACTGCCGTTTCTATGCAGCACGTCTTCTGCGTCAACCAGGAGTGCTGAGAATCGAGGTCCTGAGCTCACAGCGGCGTCTGAGAGTTTGGAAGGGAAGACAGCACAGCTACGCGCTGGCATTCCACCGCAAGCAGAGGAACACCTCCCGTCTCCTGAGCTCCTACTATTCCCCAGGTGTGCTCTGAGTATTTTGCATGTGTTATGTCATCAATTTAAACATCACAATCCTATGTAATAGTTGCCACTGCTCCTCCATTTTAGGGAGAGGAGACGGAGGCGGAGAGAAGCCAGGAAAGTTGCCCAAGGTCACCCGGCCTTGGAGCGGTGGGGCTGAGTCCGAGGTCTGACCCCACGGTCAGAGGGACTCGGAGGAGCTCCCCCTGACAGCTGTGTGTGCACAAGCTACCACGATCCCAGCAAGAGTAAGAGAAGGAAACCCACGTCAGCCGTCCGCAAACAACCTCTTCAGACTTGTTTTTCCATCAGATTAGTTCCTCCTTTATTTTCATTTCTTCATTTCTCTTTAAATGGAGGCACTGGGGATGGGAGCCAGGACCTCACGAAGGCTAAGCACATGACCTACCACTGAGCTACACGCCCCCGCCCCCTGGCCAGTTCCCTCTTTAAACCTTCCACGGACCCACTGCCACAGAATGAAGTCCAACTTCATGAGCACAGCCTCTCCCAAGTCCGCTTCTGGGCAGCTCCGTCCTCTCCTGCACCCGGGTGCTTCCAGAACCCAGCACGTCCCGGCTGACTCCCCCCGCTGGCACCCCCAACCCCTGCCACCAGCCCAAGCCACACGCCCTTGAA